GGACAAAGGGGGCGTGGTCAATAACAAACAGGAAGTCAATAACAAACAGGGTGTGGTCAATGACAAGCAGGGCGTGGTCAAGGACAAATGGGGCGTGGTCAAGGACAAAGGGGGCGTGGTCACTCACCGGCGCCCCCCGGTGGGGGTCGAGGATGTCTCTGGCCGCACTGAGCATGAGCACGTAGGGCAGGTTGTTGCAGAGCCCCAGCAGCCTGCGGGGGGCGCCAGAGAGCGCGGGGGCGGGGCTTAGCGGGGCGTGGTCGCAACGGGAAAAGGGGCGGGGCCTAAAGGGGGCGGGGCCGGAACTCACCAGAAAGCGACTCCGTCCCTCCAGTGGGAATTCGGGGGCTCCGGGGGGGCCTCGGCTGGGGGGGGGGGTGGGAGGGTCAGTTTTGGGGCATTTTGGGTCATTTCGGGGCAGTTTTGGGTCATTTTGGGTCAGTTTTGGTCAATTTAGGTTCATTTTGGGTCATTTTGGGTCATTTCGGGCCAGTTTTGGGCCATTTTGGGGGTCGGTTATTGGTCGATTTTTGGGTCACTTTTTGGGTCATTTAAGGTCAGTTTTGGGTCATTTTGGGTCATTTTGGGGGGTCATTTTGGGTCATTTCGGGCCAGTTTTGGGCCATTTTGGAGTCAATTATTGGTCGATTTTTGGGTCACTTTAGAGATACTTTTGGCTCATTTTTTGGTCAATTTTGGGGCAGTTTGGGGAATTTTTTGTCATTTTGTTTTGGGTCATTTTTTTGTCCATTTTGGGTCAGTTTTGGGGCAGTTTGGGTCGTTTTTGTCTCAGTTTTTGGGTCATTTTGGGGGTCAGTTATTGGTCTATTTTGAGTCAGTTTTTGGGTCATTTGGGGTCAGTTTGGGGTCATTTTGGGTCATTTTTGGGTCATTTTGGGTCCATTTTGGGACATTTCGGGGCAGTTTTGAGCCATTTTGGGGGGCGGTTATTGCTCGATTTTTGGGTCAGTTCGGGGGTAATTTTGTCCCATTTTTTGGTCAATTTTGGGGCAGTTTGGGGAATTTTTGGTCAGTTTGGGTCATTTCAGGCCGTTTTTTGTCAGTTTTGGGTCGTTTCGGGTCAATTTTGGGTCATTTTGCATCAGTTTTTGGGTCATTTTTGTATCAGTTTTTGGGTCATTTTGGGGGTCAGTTATTGGTCTACTTTTCGTCAGTTTTTGGATCATTTGGGGTCAGTTTTGGGTCATTTCGACCCATTTTTTATCAGTTTTGGCTCATTTCCTATTAGTTTTTGGGTTATTTTAGCTCAGTTTTGGTCTGTTTTGGGGTCCGTTATGAGACAATTTCGTGTCAGTTTTTGGCCCATTTTTGGCCAGTTTTTGGTCAATTTGGGTCATTTTTCATCAGTTTTGGCTCATTTTTGGTCGCTTTCGGGTCAGTTCCGATCAGTTCAGGTCCTTTTGGGCCAGTTTTGGGTCATTTCGGGTCCCTCCCGGGTCATTTTTTGGCCAGTTTCGGGTCAGCCCCTCTCGGCCCCTCCCGGGTCAGTTTTAGGCGCGGGGTTCGGGATCGTTTTGGGGCCATTTAGGGTCATTTTGGGTCATTTTGGGTCAGTTTTGGTCTCACCCGGCGGCGGCAGCAGCGGCTCCTCCTCCGCCATGTTCGCGCTCGTCACGTGACCCCGCGATCACATGACTCCCCATCCTCGCCCAATAGGAACCAACCGGGACACCCTCAACCAATAGAATGGGAGCGGAAGTGAAACCCGCCAATAGGAACACGGAGGGGGCGTGGCTTGTTGCCGTGCATCCATATTAGGGCTGTACGTAGGCGTGGCTTCGCCGTCGTGGGCGTGGCCTCAGCGCCCCCCTCTCTCTCTCCCCTCAGGAGCCGCCGCCATTTTGTTCCCCCCCCTTTTCCCGTTTCTCCCGTCATGGCGCTGGTTTCGGCCGATTCCCGCATCGCGGAGCTGCTCGGGGAGCTGCACCAGCTCATCAAACAGACGCAGGTAGCGGGGTTTGGGGGGTTTTGGGGTTTTTTTTAGGGGGTTTGGGGGGTTATTTGGGTTTTTTTTTTGGGGGGGTTCTCCCCTCACGACCCTCCGACACCCCCTCACGGACCCCCCCCCATTTTCCCTCACAACCCCCCGTTTCCCCCTCAGGACCCCCCATTCCCCCTCATGAACCGTCTTTTTCTCCTCAAACCCCTCAATTTCCCCCCATAGACCCCTCATGAACCCCCTTTTTCCCCTCAAAACCTTCCATTTCCCCTCATAGACTCCCCATTTCCCCCTCAGGAACCCCCTTTTTCCCCTCAAAACCTTTCATTTCCTCTCATAGACCCTCCATTTCCCCCCTCACAATTTCCCATTTCCCCCCAGGATCCCCAATTCCCCCTCAGGATCCCCCATTTCCCCTCAGGATCCCCCA